ATACTATATATATATATATATATACACAAACAATAGGGTGATCAGCGCCAGTTGGTGAAATGTGAAATAAGAGCTACCAAGCACTAAGGATATAAATAAATATCTAGAAAATGTGAAAAACAATATTGTGCCCAGTAGCCCCGTTGCCTCCCAACTTTTGAGTTTTTCTCTAGTAGCTAGAAAAGTATCTGTACTTGTACCAAGTACGCTACTTGGTATCTGTGCATCCCTAGTTAATTGTTATGTTGTTAAATAAAGAGCTGCTGTGGCCATTTAAACCCATGTTGTGCAGTCCGTGTATTTATCGGGAATTTGCTTTGAGGGGACGGAATTAACAAATCCATCAGTCATGTACGTTTGCTAGTATGCCTCATTATAATTTAAGACAAATGGCCTAAACTCTTATTTGTGATAAACACAGGTGGACTGAAGAATGGCTGGAATTAAGACATCCAGTGGTGATTATATAGATTCCTCCTGGGAGCTGAGGGTCTATATTGAGGAACTAGGAGAAGATGCTGAACCAGTGATACTTCGTGTGACTGGGGAAATGCACATTGGAGGTGTTATATTACAAGTGGTGGGAAAAACAGGTAATGCAGTTTGCCAAAACACATACCATTTCTACAATTTCATACTTTTATTACCACTGTTATCTGAAAATATGAAATATCCGTTAAATGTGCTTTCTAATGTAATCAGCTTATCCCAGGCCTGCTATGTGGTTGTGTACTTCCTCCACTGCCTGTCAATGCCTGACAGTTTAAGCACAAAAATAACATAAGGGATACAAAAGAGGAAGATATTTTTTTTTTTTGCACAAAGGCAGAGAATACAGCAGAAGCTGAGCATAGATCGGCCAGTATGACTCCATACAGGAAAACATCATCAGGCAAGCCTTGGCCTAGAGGTCATTTTCTTTAGAGCACAGGTCTGTGAACATACTTTATGCCTGGTTGTATAAGACACTCCTTTTTTTATATACTGTCACAATAATAAATGTTTTCAGTATAACTTTAATTAAAAAGAGTCTGAATTAATATAGTATAATTTACATTTAAAAAATTTTTTTCCCTAATTTATAGTTCAAAATGACTCTAAAGTAGCCTTATGCAACAGCCATACAGTATCTGATGTTATCAATTACTACAATGACTACCAGCAGGGTCAGATAGAAAATCTCATAAGAAATGAAAGTTCTGCAGACCACAGTTGGAGAACTAGGGATGGCATGTAAAGATTTCAATAACGTACCTTAAGACTTAGCCCCTTTCACACGGGCTGATCTTCTCCTGATCACAGCAGTATAGAGTTGATGGATCTGTGTCCGTATAGTTTTTGCCTCCATCTTGCGATGCAGGAAATAACTGAAACTGCCGGACCCCGTGTCTGTCTATGGGGAATCGGAAGTAAACAGGTACTTGTCCGTTTACTTCACATTACCCCCGGTCCAGTATCTATGGGGAATCGGAAGTAAACAGGTGCTTGTCTGTTTACTTCACATTACCTCCGGTCCAGTATGATACGATCTGTCAAAACGGATCTCTGATCCATTTGTTTTTCAGGACCTAGCCGTCTGTTTACACACGGCTGTCCATAAACTTGCATAGAGCATCCAATCGGGTCCGGCTGAAAAACTGGCAGGCTCATGTGAAAGGGGCCTTAAGTTGCCTAAAACAAATTTAGAGTGCAACTGAAGCCACATTTTTTTTAGTTGAGGATAGAGTGAACTGGGAGATTCACCTTGCTATTTGCCCAGGTAACTATTATCACTGAAAATTAAAGAAAATCCACAATTCTGGGTTGTCATCAGAACAGGAATCCATGGGAACACTAGTTCTGCTGATCCTGCTGACCACCAGGGATTTCCCTCTCTTTGGAGGGATTTCCTCTCACTTTCTGTTGTGGCTATTGGGCAGGAAGTGAAGGGTAATCTCCCCAATGGGATACAGATGGTAAAATTCCTGACAGGGGTGATAAGGGGGTTATAAGGGGTTTTGGATCCCTTACTATCCAAAACTTAAAAACAAAAGTTTAGGCTTCATTTTTAATTTGAAAATTGTTTTGGTCAACAGATAATCCTTCAATTTTCCTGCTTCTTCTGAAATTAATTATGATACACATTTTCTCAAAGCTCCCCCTACCTTCAACACTTAGATGCATATTTAAAAAGGAAAATATAAAATATAATTTCACTAAAAGCCTGAGGAGAGTCTGGTTACATGACTTGTCATGTGACTGGTCTCTCCTCCAATCAATTTGTAACGTTTAGCAGGGAGAACTCTGTAAGGTACTGCAAGCTGCACACCATAGCCTGCATTTTATGAATGGGCTGCAAAATGCTGGGCACAGTGTGAAATAACCTAGCAGTTATAGTGGAGAGCATATCGGCATACTTACAGTTGTGCCTGTTCACATTTGGTTGATATCGCTTTCTTGCTGTGTCCCAATGTAGGTATTTCACGGGACTGGTCTGACCATGCTTTGTGGTGGAAGCAGAAACGTCAGTGGCTTCTAAAAACAAACTGGACTCTGGACAAATATGGTATCCAGGCTGATGCCCTTCTCCACTTCATGCCCCAACACAAACCAGTTATCTTATCTTTGCCTAATCAGCGTTCACTGAGAATCCGAGTCTGCTTCTCCAGCACAACATTTGGTTCCTGCGCTGAGGTCTGTAAAGTCCTGGGTAAGTGACTGAATTGTAAGCAACAGAATACTTTATAGACATTTTAGACGTGACCACACCCAGTATTAACTAGGCCTACTGTCACCAGGTATAAGACATCCAGAGGAGCTTTCATTTCTAAAAGCACCAGAAGAAAGAGAAAAAAAGAAGAAGAAAGAGAAAGACCCAGTGACTCAGGAGATCTTTGATTTTACATGCTTACAGCCTTCAAATGGTAATGAAATATGTCTTTTCACCTATCTACATTATGTATGTTTATGACAATAGTCAACATAGTGACTCTCACCAATAGGCACATGAATATTGTATCTAATGGTAAATCCAGCCCTGATGCTATGCAAGTCCAATATCTCACATTCATTTTCCAGAAACCTACAAAACTGTGCAGAAATAATTGACTTATCATCGCATAAAAATCTGACAATTGTTCTAATGCTGGCCACAGACCTTACAACCATCGCAAGACTTTTGTCTTGCGATGGTTGTAAGGTAATTAAAAAAACGTACGATCTGCCTATCTTGGACAGGCAGATCATACTCGCTGAGGGACGGGAGCAAGCACGCAGCTTAAGGCAGACCACCCACATTGCATTCATGCTCTGTTCAGCAACTTAGAAAGTGATATAGACTTTGATTTAGGATGGCAGCCAAGCAACTAGTATTTTAGGAGGGAGAGGTCACCAATGGCCGTTGTTTTTCTCTCTCAGTGAGGTTTCCATTAACCCAGGGGTGGGCAACTTCGGTCCTCCAGCGGTTGTGGAACTACAAGTCCCATGAGGCACTGCAAGACTGCCAGTTACAGGCATAAATCCTAGAGGCAGAAGCATGTTGGAATTTGTAGTTAAAGCACAGCTGGAGAGCCAAAGTTGCCCATGAATTGGAATGTATAGGAAACCTTTGTTGGAGAAGCATTGAGGCTGACATTGCTGATCTCTCTTTCTAAAAATACTAGCGGCCTTGACATCAGCCCGATCCTCTTGTTTCAATACTATGGGGGTGATTTACTAACCTAAACACACGCACGCACCAGGTGCGTGTGATTTTTACACAGCAAAGCGTATTTATCAACCAAAAAGTCTCTATAAGCATATTTCCACTAATGCCATATATGGAAAAATCATGCACATGATGCATATATAATGCTGCTTCACAGTTTAGACAAAAATGGTTAGCTCATGCATTTACATTCCTGCATTCATCAACGCAAGCAACACAACGTAGAGCTAATTTACACAACATCACCTTGCAATTCAGGGCAGGGCTTTGCACAACACACCTGCTGGGTGTGTACACACTACAAAGGTGTTTAGATTCCACCCATAGATCATGCTGGGAAGGAACACACTACAGAGGTGTATACATGTTCGTGGTGTGTTTATAAGGTTAGTAAATCAACCCCTATGAGTCACTAACCTAGAAAAAGTATGCAGCCCCCGTCCTTCTCTATGGGACTATGCGGCCATACGCACCCTACGCTCACCCACCCTACACGTCCATGCGGGTGAGCGTACCAGGAAACATGCACCCCTATGGACCTGCACTTGAGGTGAGCGTAGGGGGGGCGAACGGCCGGGTAGTCCCATAGAGAAGGACGGGGGCTGCGTACTAATCACATGCAGCACCCGTCCTTCCTGGGAGCTGCCCGATATGGCCGTGCACGGAGTTGTACGTGCGGGCCGATTCCAGTGTGAATGAGGCCTTAAACTTGTGTTTTAATTTGCAAACAACCATTCATTTATTAGTAAGTTTAATTCCCACTTGATGGCTACTCTTCTGTCTGACGGTGGCACTCCACAGTCTGCGTTCATGGAAGATCAAGTTCGAACTGCCTCTCGTTAACAGTATTAATGCTCTGATATATGAAGATATTTTATTTTAGCCCAGGAGTAGGCAACCTTGGCACTCCAGTTGTGGTGAAGCTATAATATCTCATCATGCATCTGCCTCTGGGGATCATATTTGTGGCAGTCAGAGCCTTTAGTCTTTAGTCTATAAGCATAAGACAATTTTAAATGTTGTAATAAGAAACTTTTTTCTTTCTCACTTCCACAATATGCATTTCCCGTATTTATGTGACGGTTTCCCTTTGTTACTTCCCCATCTTATTTCCATATTCTTCTTTTTATCACAGTCAATGCAGGACAGGTGCAGGTAGGGGGGGTCCCTTCACACTTCATAGGCAGTCCTGAGGGGCAGGATTGTTACAAAGCACTTTCTGTCTGCCGCACTGGACTCGCCCCCGAGGATATACAGAAAAGATACAAACCAACATCAGTGGTGGAGAAATCTGCAATACATGCCAGGTATGGAGTGTGCTCGGTGTTCCATTATTTTCTTTTGCTAAGACCATTCATCTTCATTTTTTAGTAAAACTTAAACCACACCTATATTTGAATTTATAGAAATTTACATAATTAATCTCCATCATCCAAACTTTATAAAAAACGATTTTATACAGTTTTATTTTTACAGAAAGTACACATACAGACATGAAGTTGTTCACAATCAAGTAAGATAGTTGATGATTTCCATGCATTATTTAATCTTGTCTAAAACAATAGGTTTAAAGAGAAAACTTTACTTAGTAAAAAAAAACACTCTCACCCAGTTAAAGTACATCTAAAGCCAGAACTGTTCTCATTTTCAGTAGGGTAGGGTTAAAACTCTGGGTTATTTTTGTTTGTTTTCCCTTCACTTCCTGTTCTGTAGACTCAACAGGAAGTGAGAGGATATATTTCCAATGCTATATAAATACTGTATAATAAAAATAATAATGTGAAAGAAATCCCCTCTTAGACACTTGTCATGGTAACAAGTGTCCCTGTTGGAAGATTACCCCTATATTCCTATACTGGTGGCAACTCAACATTTTGGATTTACCCTCACTTCAATTTCCATTGGTGATTAGGACATTTAGAGAGAGGAAATCACAGACACCAATAAAAACCTGACAGTAGTTCCAATCCCCTTGCCACTCTATCCAGTTCTAAAAAAAAGTTTTTTTCCTTAAGCCGTACCTGCATTACATTCCAAGGATTTAAAAAAACCTCACTACAGATTCTTACTGCTCTTGCTCTGTAATCCATTGCAGTGACCTTCTTTAAATAATCACATTATCAGTGCTAATGTTGTATTAAGAGAAATAATGGTGGACAAAGCTTGCTATAAGCAGATGGTGTACAGAGCAACACAATTGTTGCCATAGTTGCAAGAAGGTGAAATTTAAACATACTTTAAAAATGGACTGTCAATGCATCACAATTAACATTATAATGGGAATGGACCTTTCCTTTTTAAACATATCACACCTATGTACATGGTTCACATTTGTGTCTTTGTGGTGGGCTGAAATACGTGTTTTATGGTGCATTGGGGGGGCTGCTATTTAAAATAAATGGCACTGCAGTCAGTTATATGTGGTACTGTGCATTGCAGGGTAATTTATAGCACGTTACCTTAATGCAAAATTGTGAATCTTGCTTTAACACTAGTTGCTGAAACGATTCCTCAAATAGCAGACTAGTCGTAGACTGAAGAGAGAAGAGAAATTATGTTTTTAGACAAAGATCAGGGATGGATCAGAATCCTCATGTTCTCATTTTATGTTATACAGGTGGCTTGACTCTTCCAAATCTCTAATGCAGCAGGGAGTGAAAGAAGGAGACAGATTGTGGTTGCAGTTTAAATATTTCACTTTCCATGACTTGGACCCAAAGGTGAGAAATTGTACATTGTAGGCATACTTACAAGAAAAACCTATTTATATCAATGGGTGGTCATTGTTTTGCATATAATGACTAGCTAAGAAAATAATTAATTTACACATATCCTTAGATGGATGCTGTCCGGATTAACCTGCTTTTCGAGCAAGCCCGTTGGGCTGTGTTGTTAGAGGAAACAGAATGCACAGACGAGGAGATGATGGTGTTTGCTGCTCTTCAGGTATTTCACTCATCTGTCGATAATAATCATTCTCTTGCCCCTGTTGATGGTTGAATACCACATATACTGAGGAGCATAAACTCAATGTTAGCTGTTGTTGGAGTGTAGATACCAACCTGCTGCTTGTTTGGCCCGCAATTGCCAGAAATGGCTTGTCAAAGAATGGTAGATAGGTATGTGGATGGCAAAGGAGAATAGGATATTTGTTAGTTTTTAGATTTATGTTAGTATTGAACCTTTGGTATCTATATATTCACTAGATTTATGTTATGTGAACAGTAGTTTAATTGTCTATCTTCTGTTTTCTTGCATGCAGTATCACGTCAATAAATTGTCAGTAACTGCTGATCCTATGCATTTGCCCAATGACCCTGCTCTGCAGGACTTGGATGAGGCACTATCACATCTTGAAGTCAAACTGGAGGTATCTACTGCCAATGAAGCCTTGGTAAGTCAGAAACTAGCTATTTATAACGTCTGAACTGTTTTTCTTATGTGTGAATGCAGTGTTGTTTCTCACTAACAAAAACTGACTCGCTTGGGTTCCATCCTAGTGCTATGCAAGCTTATGTGCTAGCTGTTGCAAAAACTTAACACATTTGTCAGTTTTTATTGATCTATCTCTTTAACAGGAAAGCATTGCACTTGAACCAGAACTTCAAGAATATCTGCGAGTGTTTAGGTGACTATATGTTCTCTACATATTGCTGCCTTGTGTTAATGCCCCGAGTCATGTAAACAACATATAATATTACTTCTAGGCCACGAAAAATGACTCTGAAAGGTTATAAACAGAACTGGGTGATGCTGAAAGGAACCAACGTGTCTTGTTATAAAAGTAAAGAAGAAGCTAGAGGGGAGCCACTGATTCTGCTGGCCCTGAAAGGTAATAAACTACAAAAAACTGTGAACATCACAGATGTCATTACCTGTACTTTTGAGTAGCACATATTGAGTTCTAAATAGCAGGTATTGGGAGTACTGCTATATCAAGACCTTTGTACAAGAATAGAAGGTACTTCTAGTGTTGGTACCATCTGATTTCCAGCAATGACGAGTACTGGTAGTTGGAGTGATCATTGCTAACAATTTGTAAATAATCTAATTACAGGAGGTTTATTTGTATGCCCAGCACACATGCGCAGGATATGCCATGTAGTACAATGATAATGTAGGATTTATTTCTGCAGCCTATCCTGAATTAATCTGTTGAGATTTTGTTACTATATACTGTATACTTTGTAAGTGGACCAGCCAAGATCATGATTATTTTTTTAATTATATCTTTTTTTTAAATTCTTTATGTAAGAAGAACACCCATAAATACAGTAGGTACAGGTACAGCAGATATGTATGATGTAATTGGCACTACCAAAAATGCATAATAACACAAATGTAACACTATGTTAAATCATTCGTTTAAGAAAAAAAATAATTTATGAGTAAAATAGCAATAAATCCAGTGATCAATTTTGTGAGGGTGAATGAGTATTGTGAGTGCCATTGGCAACGCAATGAGTGGTTAGGTGGTTAGAC